TAATGGTCCCAAAAATCCCCTAGGTTGGCCTTTTGTCTCTTTCTGCAACAATTGCTAGCTAGCCTTTCTAAAAGAAAATAAAATACGAAAGACTGTGAATTGCTAAAAGCATCCCCCACCCCAAGTCAAGGTTAAAAGTATCGATACACCCCAATATGCTGGATGGGGTGTATTGGGTGTTTCAATCATACCCTTTAGTTCTTTTTTCCCTGAAAGTTAGTCAGGGATCAATCTAAGGCCTGCCTACCCCCGTGAAATGGGTCAAAACCCCAAAAAGCCCATATTTAGCATATTGGTGACCAACCAACATTATGTATCAGGCTGATACATTGCGAAATTTTGATCCTTGTCCCAAGTTTCAAATTTTATTTGATTATTAAACCAAGGAATAAAAGGGTATGAGCCTAATACAAAGGAAAGAAAATGAGCCTTGACATATAATTTCGACCTTCCTTCTCGTCATCATCTAATCCTTTTCCCAACTATATGGGGTCAGCTCCATGAATTCTGTTCTATTGAGTGTCATATCCATTGTTATACTATGGGCCCTTAAATCATTTCTCACTACAACCCATGTCCTTTTTGGCGATGGCATTCCCCCTTCCTACTACTCATAAATGATAGAGCCCCATACTCTAGTATTTATCATTGCAATAGCACATTGAAATTTCTTTTTCATTTTCTTGAATGATAGAGCCCTATACTCTAGTATTTATCATTACATAGGAAATTAAAAGATTTCTTCTTCATTTTCTTTTGTCCCCTCTTGAATCTGTCTCTTGACATCCAGATGCAGTGCAGTAATAATACAAATATGCCATTCTCCTAAACTCAGAAAAGGAATTAGCTGGAACCTAGGTACAAAAAACCATATTCCTCACCTACAACCTAGAACCCTATCAAGATCATTCAATTGGAAGCATAGTTGTCAAGGTGATGCCTAGGCGCCCTTGGAGGCTCGCCTCGCCTAATCACCAAGCAGTTTTGTACATTGTGTAATAAAATACTTTATATTCTTAATTTATTTGAGATTATAATTATAAAATAGACATTATTAAACTAAAATACTCATTTTGTGTGTTTATATACTAATTTCTTTTTATTATTTCTTATTTGTTAGGGTTTAATCAACACAAACATTGCTAAATGCTGTATTGAACCCTCAAAGGCTTCAAAACCTGAAGTACTAAGGAGGAACTTAAAGTTTTGTCTAATCAACACATTTTCTTCTTCTTCTTCCACCTTTTCTTTTCTTCATTTTCTTCTCATGAATATGTTGATTTATACTTTAACATGAAGTTTATACTTTTCTAATGAAAACTATGGATAATTATTAAGGAAATATGCTTATGGAGCCTAGGGAACTACCTAGGATATATGTTTTTTACTTAAAAAATCCATCGCCCAGGTGACGCTTAGGCGCCCACCTAGGCAACTAGGCAACAAGGCACACCCTGTCACCTAGCCTCACCTTGGCGCCTTGAAAACCATGATTGGAAGAGTGCATAGATAAACATCATAATATCACAAGGGCAAGAAAATACATTAGCCACAAAAACAGCTGAAAGAGGAGAAACATCTAAAAGGAAAGGGAAGAAAATTTGGTAATAGCAATTATAGTTTACCTGCAATTTCCTATGCCGAACCAAACTGTTCATGCCATTCTGCTCCTTCCCAGTTTCTTCGTCCTCCGGAATAGCATCAAGTGCCCCGTGCCTCGGAGACTTACGCCTCGGGCTGAGGTGAATTGTTTTCGTTAAAATCAAAGGAACACCAGAACAACACCCGGCAACATAAACCTCAATAGAAGGCGACGAAATTCCAAGCTTTGGCTGAAAAAATGCAGAGGAACCCGTGGCAATAGATGCCGCGGTGTAGCAATCCATACTCCACCCTGTCTTGGGATCATTTTCCAACCCCTGGTGGTGGTCGAGCCCGACGCTGCCGTTGTTCCAAGCAGTTTCCATTCGTTCCAAAGAACCACACAAAATCAAATCCTCTCTATCGTAGACTTCGAATTCAACTGCGCCCATGACTCGAACGTTGTCGGTGCTAACATACGTCACCTCCGACGACTCCTTATCAAGACGATCACGACGAAGCGTGAGAGAAGCCGTTTCGGAAGCAGGGATGCGGGAGCCATTAATCTCGAGGGAAACCCCAATCTCGCGTCGTAGGTGGCGGAGGGTGAGATGAGCCGGAACGCTGTCGACGACGCAAGGAGCAATTCGGACATAGAAGAGCCGAATCTCGAACCAGGACGACGGAGGTGAAGCAGTGTCATTCATGAGGCTATAGAAAGGTGCATATTTGGGGCTATGATTAGGGTTCGAGTTTTTCTTGGGCAGGCAGATCGCCAATGACGAATCCTCCCCCGCATCCTGTTGAAAATCCATGACTCGCCAATCTATCACAGGCAAAGAAAACTCAAAAACCGGAGAGTCGAAACTACCCTGCTATAATCAGAACGGAATGTTGAAGCAGAAAACTAGAATAGGGTTGGAGTATCGGAGTTCATTCTTCTTTGCCTTGTCCCTCTTCTGGGGAAAGAGGCAATGGAATTGAAGGAAATTTAGTTGCGATTCATGCGTTAGAGGAATTTAGAAATTCCTTCTGTTTGTTTTGTTACTGTTAATTTTCCATCTTCAGAAACGAAAGAGGAAAAAGACAAGAAATTTAATTGTCGTCGTTAAAACGATCGTTACTAAAAATACGAAAATTGTGAAGACGGAGGGAGAGGGCGCAGTCGTAGTCAAGAGGGAAGAAAGGCGAGAACCGAGGGAAAAAGGAGGGAGAAGGGATCCCGTTGGCCGTTCCCATCTGTAACACCGTCACCGTTACCGTATTTTGTAGGGGGCCATGTGAGTTATATAGCGCCGGATAACGGGTCGAAACGGAACAGGAAGGAAAGGACTTGACGCCGTTAATAATAATAGATAGATACTTCTGTTTGTTTCCAGTAAGGCAGTAACATACTAACATGCATCTTTAGCATTTGGGTGTCTAGTGTGGATTGTGGATTCGGGCTGGCCCACGTCCATACTTCGTTACTCGTTTGTGATGGCTTACAGTTATGGTAGATTCGAAGCATATCGACACGTGGCATATATCTAGCGGAAGTCCGGCAAGACTTGTCCAATTCCTGTCGACATACACGACACCGGCCACCGGGTGAATAGGGCTGTCACTGTCCGACCGAATTTTATGTGACTTTGTCCCCATCTTATCATCCGTATCGTGGATTTTATCAAAAAAGGGTGGGTTTTAATTCGTGAGTACCCTTCCGATATCATGTGTTTTTGGCATCATAATCTAATTAGATTTTTCCTTTCTTAAAATATATACTAGCGAAGGGGCCTTGCATTGTAGGGGTTCGCTCATAAACTATCAGGTTTGAGTTCGACTTGAATTAGAGACTTGAATACGAGTTCGAGTTCAAGTTCGGCTCAAGTCAAAAGCTCAGAAGTTCGAGTCTGGCTATCTTTGATTGTAGGTCTTTCAAGCAGTCGAGGTGCCGAATCGAGGTCTCTCTCAATTGCCGAGGTGCTAAACTGAGGTCTCTCTTACCTGTTGAAGTGTTGAGCTGAGATTTCTTTAGCAAGCGAGGTGTCGAGCTAAGGTCTCCCTTAGTTGACAAGGTGCCGAGTTGAGATCTCTCTCAGTTGTCGAGGTGCTGAGTCGAGATCTCCCTCAGTGATCGAGGTGTCGAGCCGAGGTCTCTCTCAGTGATCGAGGTGTCGTTTAGCTCGAGCTCGATTCGAATTAGAGACTTGAGCTTGAGCTCAAAAGTTCGAGCTCGGCTTGGCTTGAACTCGACTACCTTTAATTACAGGTCCCCTAGCAGTCAAAGATAACAAGCAGAGGTCTCCCTCTATTGGAGAGAGAATGGCATTCTTATAATTTATAAGGAGAGAGAGAGAGATGGCATTCTTGTAATTTATAAGAAAGAGAGTGAGAGAGTTGGTAGGAGAGAGAGTGGCATTCTTGTAATTTGAAAGAAAAAAAAACCAAGAGAGTGAGAGAGTTAGTAGAGAGTGGCATTCTTGTAATTTCAAAGAAAAAGACAAAAAATATTGTTTGATTCCATTTCCCTATTCCTCATGCCTTTTTACGTACACATTTCAGCTTAATATATTTATATAGATATATAAAGGCTCTTTTTTTTCTAATTTTTTGTAATTTGATTATACTTTATGTCTAAAAATATAGAGTTGATAAGTAATATTGATGAGACCCGAACTGAGGTGGATGAGCAGCAAATGATGCCCTCCTGAGTTGGACAAGAAGAGGTGAATCCAATAACCCGTAAAAATAGAACTTGAAGACCCTAAGGTGGTTTTCCAAGAAGCACTTCGATGTTTAAGCTAGTAAGAGGAAGAAGAGGTCAGCTAAGGTGAGTTAGTGAGGATAAGCTGGTTATACTCAAGCAAGATGACTCTTTGGCTTTAGTCCAAGCATGCTATATACGCTCGATACCTATCCGATGGTTCTGTTGTTATATTTATATTTATAATAATTATAAAAATATATCAACATTTACTATTGTTACAATTTATGACTTGTATTCTATAGCTCGGTTTCCCAAGACGATTGTTTGGCTTCACCCTAAATTCCTAATCAAATCCTTCTGATCTCTCCAAAACACAAAAAAAAACAAAAAAAAAAAAACAAATTTTACCTCAAAAGCCCCCAAATCCACCATTAAATCTATTGGATACCTATCTGATGGCCCTGATCAACACCTATTTACACCTCAACCATTAGATCAGACACAACCATCAGACCTAAGACCTCCCAAAACACTTACCTATAAAATTTCAACTCAAGATTCCCCCGTTTACCCCCTTATCAAACGAAGATTCCATTTCAACCTCTCTCGTTAGCCTAAACACTCAAAACCAAGATTATCTTGATCTTGACACATCCGAACCGATCAGACCACACCATTAGACTGCGAACATACCATAACACCTGCTCATAAAATTTCACCCCTAGATTCTCTCACTTGCCCTTCTATTAAACCAAGATTTCATTCTAAAACATTTCGTTCACCCTAAATTCCTACAATCTTGACCCTTTAAGACTGATAACCTCATCATCAGATCTAGGACACCCCCAAATACCCAGATTTGAAATCCCAACCCAAAATACCTCTGTTTACCCTTCAATCACACCAAGATTCCATTTAAAGGTCCTAGATTAACCAGATTACGAATCTACTCGATCTGGGCCCATTTGGCTCAATCTATACTTACCAATCGCCCCAGACTACCCAAAAATCCTACCTTGTGAAATTTCACCCCAAACGTACTAAACCCCACCTTACCAAATTTTAGTTAAAAATACCTCAATTTGCTTACTTTTTCAAAAAGATTCCATTTTGGCTAATCTCACTGGCCCACACTTGCAAACCCCCTCTTTGTGATCAGATTCATCTCGACCCTCCATTCTTTGACCCAGAAATCTCCACCATTAGATTAAAAACCCGGCTTGAACCCCCTGAACCGGTTTTGACCCAAACCTGTAAATTTCAATTTTACTCCCATTTTTTGTAAAATCATAAAATGCCTCATGGCATTCTTTAAAGGAGCCGAATGCCTCATTTTCCCCCTAAGTAGAGAGAGGGGGGATTTTTCTTTTAACGTTCATCGTCTTCACCTAATCGAACCATCAAAGGCATGTGACGACGACTTTGTCTTCTCTCTAATGTCAGAACTTCGTTTCTATTTCTCTCTTCTACTTCTCTATCTCTTCTTCTTCTTCCCTAAACTTGAATTTTCCAACCACTATTCATCTTAATCTCTGTTGAATAGCGACAAAATATTTTTTCCATTTTACAACAGTCAATCTTAGCTTTCACAAGATTTGTGAGGACATTGTCTCCAACTCCATTACCTCTCTCTTGTTTATTCTTTATCATTTTTTCTCTTGATTTTCTGTGGTGGACTGAGCTTTCCTCTATTCTGCGAGATTCATACCGAATCTAGTTGGCTTTAGAAATTGCCATCAGTACGCTCACATTAGGAGGGATTTGTTCAACCTCTTTGATCACCTCCTACAGAACATAATAAATTCATCTGAATTCTTCCCATTTATAGTATCAAGATGTTAGGTAGTGTATGCCCTTTAGCTTCAATCAGATTGATGTATAGATACATTTATTTTAAATGAATAAAATTACATTATTTTTTCATGTTAATATTGGTATGTTTTTGTGAAATTACCTTTTAAATTGGACACTTACAAGACTCGTGTTAGTTTAGAATGTTCTCAGTTGTTGGATAGACTTGGGGAGTTTATCCTACCAAGGTTGACACTGATGTGCAGCCAAAGAAGTTGGGGCAGCTTGTCTCAGTTTCTAGGGTTAGACCCAAAGCACATAAACTACAATATGAACAAGTTAAAAGTTAGTTTGCAAGAGCTCAACAATATGTTGCAAAGAGCTGAAGAACTGATCAAGAAGGACAAGCTGGTAGCCATGCTTATTGAAAGTGGCAAATCTGGTAAGAAGAAAAGGAAGGGTAAGAAAAGGCCTCAGAAAAAGGGAGGCAAAATGAAGAAGCAAAAGAGAGACAAGTCATCAGATGAATGTTACTTCTACAAGCAGACTAAGCACTGGAAGAGGAATTGTCCTCAGTATCTGAAATCCTGCAAGAACAAAGAATGTAATTTCGAATCTCTTGTCATAAAGACCAACATGTCAGTCACTTCTACATCTTGGTGTATTGACTATGGGGCTTCTACTCATGCACGTAATACATTGCAAGGGTTCAAGGAAAGCAAAAGGTTGAATTATGACAAGGTTGTGCTTTACTTGGGGACAACTGCAATTGTTGTGGTTACTGTTATAGGAACAACAGATTTGATTTTTAGAGGAGTTGTTTGTTACATTGAAAGATTGTCTTTATTTACCATTACTTAGAAGAAATTTTATTTTAGTTTCTAAACTATGTAAGGATGATTATTCTATTTTATTTAGTAATAAGATTACAATTAAATTGAATAACAAATTTCTTACTCATGGAGAAATTGAGAATGGTCTTTATGTCTTCCATCATTCTCTAAAAACAAATATAACCAAAACTGTGTCGGAACACATCCCTAAGAAAAGAACACATGATACAGCTAATCCCATGTGCATGTGGCATTACCGACTTGGCCATATAAATATAAAATGTATCACAAGATTGGTAAATGATGGTCCTCTAGATTTTCTCACTATGGAAGATCTACCAACTTGTGAGCCTTGCCTCCAAGGCAAGATGACAAAAGGGTCATTTACAAGTAAGTCTGAAAGATCTACAAGCACACTTGACCTTATACATACAGATGTATGTGGTTTCATGAATGTTAGGACACGGAACCAATGTTGCTATTTCATAACTTCCACCAATGATTATTCTCGATATGGTTGCATGTACCTAATGAGACATAAGTCTGAATCCTTTGAAAAGTTCAAGGAGTTTAGACAAGAAGTCGAGAAACAGTTGTGGAGACATCAAAACCCTTCGATCAAATCGAGGAGGTGAATATTTATTTGATGAATTCAGGGACTACTTAATGGACAATTAGATTATATCATAGTTGTCTCCTCCAGTTATAGTTCAATTAAATAGTGTGTCAAA